TATATATATATATATATATATATATTAGATGTGTAGTTGTAGTGTCTTGTGAATATGTGTGGGTAGCAAATCTAGACTTCTAGTTGGCACGTTCTAATATAATTGAGATGTTAAGTCAGTTGTTGATACAGAGTCAGGACCTCCTGCCAACAAAAATCCTTTCCAACACATTCCAACTTGATTTGTATCTACACATCATATGTAGGATCCATTACAAGATTAGGACCCACCATCCATGTGATGTCCGGACACAGGTGAGTTGGGATTTCCTCCTCACAACATTTGTAGCAATGTAGTGGGAACATCTCTATACTTGTATATGTTTTAATTCATGGAAAGATGTTCCCAATACACAGCTGTAAATGTTATGAGGTTGGTGTGAGGACCAATTTTGTGAGGAAGGAATCTGAGTTCCACACAAATCATGTCGAAATGTGTTGAAAGAAAATTTTGTTGGCTAAATTCATTAATATAGGGGAGATAGGATCTGCACCTCACCCATGGCGCCTCACAGGTACATCCCACTGTGCATTGGGAGCATCTCCCATACTTATATGTTACTATTTATAGGAGATGTTCCCAATGCATGGCAGGATGTACCTATGAGGTCATTGTGAGGTGCCCTGTGTGAAGAATAGATCCCAATTCAATATAGGGGGTGTTTAACAACATGTTTGGTTTTGTTTTTTAAAACAAAAACAAAATATCATATCAATAAAGACGAATTTGACTCTCCAGTAATATCATGCCATGTGGCATGTCGAATCATTTTTTAGCACCTTGATGTCAAGTAGGCAATAACTTGCTTTTGCCTAGATCAAACTCCATCTCAGAAGCATCTCAGATGCACCTCGAATACCTTGTGGCGCACTATAAGAGAATGCATAGATGTGGATTGAGTAAATCACATCGGGTACTTTTCTTACAATTCGGCTAGCCGACCTAGTGTCAAAGAGTCTCGATTTCCTCTCCATATAATACTACTTACAAACAAGTCTGGATCTCCTGCCCACAGCTTCCTACCCACGTTCCTTCCCACGCCATAAATTTTGAACACTTGTCCATTAACATGTGCTTATTCTTCACATGTGCAAAATTGCATGTGAACTCAAAAGGATGTAATGGGACGTTCATCCCGTCAGAACTCGGAATTCACCCATTATCCCAATTAATTTTTTAACCTAAAAATAATTACTTTCCCCTTCCCAAGAACCCTAATAGTGTTTCGTTCTTTCCATTCATTCTCTACTGCATACTGTTCCAAAAAATTTCACGGGCAACCGGCAACTTATTCTCTCCATGCTCCATCAGTTAACATTCTTCTTCTCCTCTCCACAATATCCTATTCCAAGAGATTCCATCGACATCCAACAACCGGCAATCGAGGACATGCTCACTGATACACCGGTGGTTAAGTAACCTCAACCAATACAGAAAATATTTATATATACTCATCACTCAAAAGTCAGAACCACTAATTGATTCTATTTTATTTTCCGGCCGGCAGCCATCTCGTGTAAAGATCAACGATGTTCATTTCAAGAATATCAGAAGCACCTCGGCATCAAAGGTTGCAGTCAATATCGCGTGCAACAAACAGGTGCCCTGTGAGGACGTTCAACTGTTCGACATCAATTTGAAATACAATAGCACCAAACCCGATTGATTTGGCTCCCTTGGCCTTGTGTTCTAATCCTCAACCAAACTTTGGGGGAACCTAGATGCCAGCTCCTTGCAGTTAAATTGACTTCTCTATCTCATCAATTGTATTAATTAACTAATTAATTAAATCCTCTCTTCCCTTGGTTGAGGTTACTTAACCACCACTGTATCGATGAGTACATCCTCGATTGTTGGTTGCCGGATGTCAGTAGAACCTCTTGGAACAGGACATTGTGGAGAGTAGAAGAAGAAGGTTAACTGATGAAGTACGGAGAGAATAAGTTGCCGGTGAACACGTCGCCAGTTGCTGGTTGCCGGTTGCTTGTGAAATTTCTTGGAACAGTACGTAGTAGAGAATGAATGGAGAGAACGAAACACTATTAGGGTTCTTGGGAAGGAAAAAGTAATTATTTTTAGGTTAAAAATTAATTGAGGTAATGGGTGAATTCTGAGTTCTGACGGCCATTGCATCCTTTTGACTTTACATGCAATTCCGCACATATGATGTCTAAAATTTATGACATGGGCAGAGACATGGGTAGAAAGCTGCGGGCAGGAGATCCAGACTCCTTACAGACCGATGCTGTGAAGAGGAGAGGAAAAAATCCGGATTCATCAAGAGAGAGAGATTTGGTAACTTTTAACATAGAATAGAGACATGTTTTCCAAATAAAAAACCGAAATGAGATGTTTAATGTCTTAGGTAGTTTGATAATAATCATAAACTCATAATATGCTACTCACTTCTCCGCTAAGCATTCTCTATAAGAATAATAAATCAATCTCAATCAAGTTTGCTCTGCTGTAGATTGTAGAAGCTGCATCACACGACCTAATTCTACACCACCTTCCCTTCCATCTGCCTTAATTGAGATTCCCCACCAGACTGATTTTAAATAGTTTAGATACAATATTCAAAAGAAAAAATAAATAAATAAAAAACGTGAGTGGTGGCTGGGACCCACTAAACTTACTAAGTTATTCCAATCCAGTGGCCGTCAGGGTCCATGTCACATGAGATCCCAGTTTCATTGAATCATGTTCGGTATTGTCTCGTTGGCTCACTGAAAGTGCAATAAATGGGCCAAAATAGATAATCTATGGATCGAATGGTTAATGTCCATCCAGTGGTGGGCCCATTCAGATGGACTCTTCTTCAGAAAAGGGGAAGAAGGATCGGATCAATAATGTTGCCAGAGACAACGACCCGACCTTGATTACCCACCAAAGGGTTGTGATACGGTGCATGATCCTTGCTTCCAACAAACGATGGCTGCATGACGAGTCTCAAATGGATTCCAATCCGACGGCAAAATTTTAAACCTTTAACCGTATTGGATGGTTCCCTTGTCGAAACATTTAAAAAGGAGACAGTGACCCACTGACCCGACCCGACACAACCCCACCTTTTGCCAGTAATCAACTTTGTCCTCCACTGGGGTAGTACCGTAGTAGGCCCGAGGCTGAATTTCTCTCGGTGGTCCCTCGGGTTATCAAATTGTCCATTTCGCTTTGTTTGCAAAAAGGTGTAAAATCGATGCGACTCTTCACCCACCATGAGTCCATGACTCCGTAGGCCGTAGCTGGTCCATCCGAGTCTCGACTCGTCCATATTACAATATACAAACCCGGCAATCCTGTTCATCACCATCATGGATTCCAATCCAACGAAGGAGAGCAGTTCAGAGATCCCAACAAACAAAAGCGGACCCACTTGTTCTCGTGTTGCCAACCGTCCGAACAGTCCGAGCAAGAGACAGTTCATCAGATCAGACTTCAGACTTCAGACTGGAGCTGGACTCCATTTTAATTTTGCTTGAAACAAACAAAGCTTCTTTTCCCAGATTATCTGCACACACTTGAAAACGGAATTAACTAACCCACGTGCCCCCGTATCCCCAAACCCAATAAAAACAAGGGAACCCCAGCGTGCTAATCAAAGGCACAGTCCCTACCTCCCTACTTATCCATCACGCGACACGTGTCACTATGGAGCCCACATAACTGCACAGTACGATGAGGTCGCCCCTATTAGGTCGCTGCCCACAATAAATGAAGGCCATCCCAATCCCATCAAAACCCAAACCACCAATCGCATCTCTTTCTCTCTCTAGACTCTTTTTCTCTCCTCTCGGACACGGCCCCCTTTTTTTATTGTTTTTTCTCTCTCCAGCCGTCCAGCGGTCTAGCCTTTTTTATTGTGTAGCTCCTCCCTTGCTTTCAACCCACGCTTGGGCTGCTGCAGTCCCAAACTACAAAGCACACACAATTCCAAGCCTAGAGAGAGAAAGAGGAGAGAGAGAGAGAGAGAGAGAGAGAGAGGAACCCGGGAACCAACTTGAAAAAGAAAGAAAAGACCCTGAAAGCAAAGCACGCCAAGGAAAAAGCAGAAAAGCAAAACTAATCATCATATCCATTCATGGGCTGCTCTGTTTCGAGACCTGAAGGCCGCGTTTTCAACAAATCAGCCACCGTCGAGACCTCTGCCACCGGTGCTACTCCGCCGATCTCACGAGCCCTCTCCCTGCCGACTCCCCTTGTCCACCACCCGCCCCTCAAGAAAGGCGACACCCACCACCTTGTTTCCCTCACTTCCACCACCTACGGTTCGCTCCTCCTCCTCGACTCCGATCACAACCACTCAAACCCTAAATTCAACCGTCAAGATCAGGATCTAGATCGCCTCCCTGCTTCCTTTCCGCAGTATAAAGCCCTAGCCGACCAAGAGACCCCGTCGCCTGATTCTGTGATCAACGCTTGGGAACTCATGGCTGGACTCGATGACTTCGATTACTCCGCCAAATCCGTTTCTGCTTCCTCCGTTCGTGATTCCCCCAAGAAACCCTATCCGTGTCCAGTTCAAGAAGGATTCGTGAAGAAAATGTGCAGTTCATTTGAATCAGCCAGGTCGTCGCCAGCGAAAAAGAATTCGGTGTTGGTCGATCCGAAGGTGAAGAAATTGCAGTGTAACTCATTCAATTCTTTTGATTCTTCGGCAATGGCGATTCCGGAAATGGAGATACCAAGTTCTCCGTCGAAGCCGCTTTGGAAGCACTTGTCTGAGGAATCGCTGCTTGCGGATTTGGATCCGAATGTCGCTTCTAGTTTCAGGCGAGCTTTGTCTACTAAGCAACTAGGGTATAATCAGTCGAGAGCAGTGAGGCCAGTTGGGTCTGGAGCTAAGGTTTCGCCTTTGTTTGATAATCGGATTCGGTTGCCAGGAACTGAGGATAGGATCGTGCTGTATTTCACCAGTTTGCGGGGAATTCGGAGGACTTACGAGGATTGTTGTACCGTTCGAACTATCTTCAAGGGGTTTAGAGTTCCGGTCGACGAGCGGGACATTTCGATGGATTCGGCGTACCGGAAAGAGCTGCAGAGTGTGCTCGGAGAGAAGACTGTAAGCTTGCCCAAGGTTTTTATCAGGGGGAAGTACATTGGAGGGGCTGATGAAATTCGGCAGCTTCATGAGGTCGGTGAACTGGCAAAGCTTTTTAAAGGGTTCCCTGTTCGAGAACCTGGGTTTGTCTGTGGGAGCTGTGGTGATGCAAGGTTTGTTCCTTGCTTGAATTGCAATGGCAGTCGCAAGGTGTTCGACGAAGAGGAAGAGCAATTGCGGCGCTGCCCGGAGTGCAATGAGAACGGATTGATCCGGTGCCCTGATTGCAGTTCTTGATTGCTATGGGTGATCGATTGCAAGTATATATAGTTCGCTACGTGTGGTGAGGATTGCATAAAAAACGAAAAAACAAAAGAAACTCATAGTAATGCTATGGATTTCTATCAATTTAGGGTTTGATTTGAAAGTCTTGCTGGGTTACTCTGCTTTCACTCTATGTAAATTGATCATCACTTGGGTATTCTTGTTCATCATCTCTCTTTTTTTTGATGAATTTGTTCATCATCTCTCTTGACAATACAAAAAAAAAATAATAATAAAAGTACATTTTTTGTTGCTGTCTTATTAACCATTATATAGAAATGTATGAAGCTTTACTTCGTTTCTTTTTATTTATTTTTCAATCAATTGCTTGACTCTGAACTCAACTAGCATTTTTTTTTTTGTTCAGCGAACTCAACTAGTATATTGGGATTATTCTACTTGTCAAACTGCAACTAGATATTGGTTTTGTAGTTAACTTAGCCAAACTATTTTTTCCATACAATTTGGGCACATGCAACGCTTATTTGGCTTGTAGAGTTGCATGCATTTTAACTTATATACTAGTGTTTCCTTAAAACTGAAATGCTACCAAGATAGGCTAAGACAATGTTCTTTGGTTCTCTTTTTATATTCTTCAGCCTAAGTGTAAGACTTCTTTCTACCAGTGTTAGAATCTAAACAAAGGGTAGTGCGTGATACAGGCAAATATCTGAGAGAACACAGTTGCAGGGCTAAATTTTCCTCCCCAACGCATTAATTCAGATGAACTTGGAAATTTAGCTTCACAGGCTTAAGGTGAGAGAGAAGGATAGCCAGTTCTAGACCCATCCTTTGCTTTCTCTGAAGGCATTTCTTTTCACCCATCAGTTACTGGCTGAGAGGAACACATTCTAGCTCGATTTCTAACACTCCCCGTTCAACATTCTGCAGCCGCAGTGTGATTTCTTGCTTTACCTTCCCATGTGTCAGGGTGATAACACTGTCTTTTACTAAGGTGTTGTCATTGGTTGCTAGCCATTTTCCTAGCTGAATGGTCTCTGTGGTTTTGGAGTTTTCATAGGCTTGGGCAGCGTAAACCAGGGGTTGGATATCAATCTCAGCTTCTCCCATGTGATCATCCGGTGTAAATGTATCCTTGTCATAAACAAGCTGCAAAAGAGGAAACAGATTGTGAATATATTCAGTTTAAATAAGCAAATTTGAATGCGCATGTTCAGATACCTGAATCTGAAACCAAACAGCTACCACTATATTTATTGGCAATGTCAAAATTATGAATAATTGAGCTTAATATGCACAGACCACTAGCTTTAGCATCTCTCTATCAATAGGGGTGCTTAAAAGGTGAAAAGAAGCTAGAATGAAGAAGGCCTTCTGCAACAAGATGTACTGAAAATAACATCAAGATAAAGTGGGTAATCCACATCATGAAGGGGCAAGATATTGGTCCCGGAGCCTAAATCCTTTTTAAGTTCTTGCGTGCTTCTCCAATATATATATACCTGGCAAGCTGGAGAAGGAATCCTAACTATCTTCTTTAGTTTATCTTTTCTTGAAGTATTTTGAAAGAAGTGGGACTGTGGAAGAGCATTAATGGTTGCCCAGATCATTGGAGCATCTGATTAACAAGATCATGTACTAACTTTGTTTTCATCATCAGTGAAGTCCATCCTGCCTTCCATGCAGGTGTAAGTCAAGACTTATCTATCCTCTAACAACCTGACGGTCCACCTCCCTAAAGAGAACAATCTAGGTCTTTGTAAAAGAGCTAAAGGCTCAGCATGAATGGAAACATGGAATTAATTTCACTAGTAGGACATAAAAACTTGGGACGATTTCCCTCTCCTGATTCTTGAAATCTCCTCTCACCACAGGTGGCCTCAGGTACCCACAAAAGTAGCAATCAAGATTTAATTTGATTGCATCATGGGTGGGGGAATGTTTCTTTGAATAGTGCTCTGTCTGAGTTGGAGAGCCTGCCAAACAACAACATCCTCTTAATCATCAATTAAAAAAAATCCTGGAACTACACTGGTTTTCATCTTTCCTCGTTAGGATGGAGAGAAGATTAATCCTCTTTTTAGAGCCATATAATTTGGCATACCTTTTCACTGAAGCTTCCTTCCCTATAACTTTTGTAACATTGGCTTACTCAGGATTTCTAATATGGTGATCATTAAATTTAACACACCAGCTGATCAACAGTATAAAACATAATTGATGGCATGCCATGCAATATTCCGGAGCAAAGAATTCCTGTCAACTTGCTTCATTGAGATGGAGCTCATTTGATCTTTGTTATGCATGAGAAATGTTTCCCTAGCTATATCTTCTTTTAAATAAGCTCAACTTTAGAAAAGAAAAAGAAGCAGCTTAAGTAAATTACTCATCTGAAAGAAGGAAAACTAACTCTGATTAATTCGAAAAAATATATGACAAACATCAAGGCATCAAAAGAAAAGGGTGTTGGCTGAATGGATGCTTCAAAGAGTTCGCTTCATATTTAATATGCCATCAAAGAAATGTATGAAACTGAAAGATATATCAGCTTACCACTTTTAGAGGCGGGACAGTATCTGGAATTGATAACATTAACCTTTCATTCCATACTGGGTTAAGATTGTTCTTTATCACACGTGTCTTCATTGACTGTGTAGTTCAAAAAACAAAAAAAAATAGAACACTTTCATTTATTAATACAGTTGTTTAAGTCCTAGATTGGAAACAATAATGTCAAGGAGTTGTTGATCAGGGGGGAAGGGTTACTTGCTGTCCCAATGAAAGGATGACGTAAGGATCACTAGTGATCATATCTCGAACAGCTAGGTTGGTGCCTCTCACAATATTGACCTTTATCAAACCAATAAATTCGACCATACCCGGCTATAAACAGTTGATGCATAGTATGAGATTCTGTTATCCATGGAAAACTGAAAATCTAAATACTAAAATATTTCAGTAGAAACATGTAAGCTGCAAAATAGCAGACTCCACAAATAGTGGCCTTATCATATTGATAGTCATACCGCTGAGTTGGAATTCTTTGCGCTCTTGTGCTCAGTTTCTTTTTTTTTCCTGCTACTGTGAAATGCATGCCCAAATGCATGAATGCGGTGGCCAGTAGATTGTTTCTCACAGTTTTTCTTGTCTGGAGGTGGAGCAGTGCTAGGACGGGACAATGAACTCAAAGTAGTTGATGGATGGGATGAAGAAACCTTTTCATTAGGGTTGAAAAATTGCATATGCTCATATTTTCTCCTAAATATTCAAGACATTGTGTTCTGATTCAGAATGATACAGGTTTCTATCAAACAGTTTGAACAAGTGCAATTTTTATTTTTACCTAATGAAATCAGAGCGCTCCTCTATGGAGGAATCTGGTCTTGGTTTTTTAATATCTTGAAGAAAAGCTTCATATTTCATGTTTACTGTAGTGTTTCCGCCCAATGCAACCATTAAATCAACTTGATCATCTGTCCATAAATCTAGCTTCACTGATAGCACCTGAGACATACAACAAAGAATAAATAGGAAATCGAGGCATATGCAATTGATAGATAAATTCATCTGCCATATATAAGACCACAAAAAGTGCCATGTGACCATCATCCAGTTAATTGTTCTCACCGTGCCAACTGCATAATTAGATTGTCTAGCTCAATCATATTTGGTCTTGCCATGATACATTTACATCTCCATTACTAGGTTTTTCATAAAGTAATAAACAAGTCACCCAATTTTCAATTTTCTTAGCATTCTCGTTCCTTCTCATATTCTAACTACAATAGGTTGTCAAACTTTTTTTACTTGATGGTAACAGGACTATATTAAATGAGAGAACGGCATATAAGATACAAAAGGAGAAGAGGGAATGAAGAAAGTAAAAAAGAACCCTCTCACCCAAAATCTAAGAAAAGGCTTATACACCCTGGATAAATAAAAGCACTCAAAAATTTAAGTTGTAATAGCAAACAAAAAAAGGGCCATGCCCAACAACAGAAAACCCGCAGCCCAACCACCCTTCAGCCTAAACACATGGAACAGACCTCCACCCCAAGTATGGATAACTAGCACTCAAAGGAAATTATTAAGCCTTGGGCATCCCCCTTTCCCCTATTTAGACTCTCTTTCCTCTGCTCATAGTCCCCTAATAATAGTGTCCTCCAAATTTCTCCCATTGAGATAAGGTGAAAAAATCTCATTGTTGTCTTCCTGTCCCATCCCTGTATTTTGGTCTTTTGCTCACTCTTCAAGGATTATCTACCTTTCATATTTCGTATCCTTCTCTTCTGTCTCAATAAATCAGTATTTATGGGAAAATTATACACTCACCATTGAACAGTGAATGTACTTGCTCGTGGAAAAATGGTGAACACTGGTGAAGAGAATTCAGCATAACCAACTCCAAGTAATCTGGATGAGTCTGGTGACATTGTACAAATTAAGGGTTCTTTTTATAGTTACAAGAACTTATTTTTATCTTTTTCCAAGTAAAGAAAAAATGTGCACAGAAATTTCTATTCCAGTTAACAGTACCATTTTTTGTTTTAAGGAAAATCTACCTTTTTGTCAACTGGAATATACAAATCTCTAACAATGTTTTGAAACCCAGCCTGGAGGCTGAACTAATCTTCCCTTTGGGTAGACGGGTCACTGGTTCAATCATCTGAGTCAACAGACCAGTCCATGTCATCATAACAATGAAAAAAAAAAAACAGAATAATACAAAAATCCAGTAACTCAGCGAATCAACAGGTCGAATGGGTCACTGGTCACCCATCTAGGTCAACTGATCATCGACCAAGTCAACAGTTTTTCAAAATATGGCAGGTTAGAGGTTGACCAGAACCAGAGTTGTGACCAGGTCACCAGTTCAACTGGCCAGGTCAATAAATGGTTAAAAACATCGATTTCTAATTGTATACTTAACTAAAATAATTGGAACCAATGGATATTGCAATGAACAGAGTGAAATGGCAGAACAGGATTCATGTAGCCGACCCCATATAGTTAGAACAAGGCTTATTTGAATTGAGCTGAGTGGTTCCAAATGTTTTCCCACTTTGGAGAGTTTCAAAGCAAATTATACCTTGAAGAAATAAAGGGAATGAGGAAAAGATTTTCCCTTTCCGATTTCTAAATTTATCTATTAGAGAGAAATCTTATGTTCTCAAGAATGGAAAGGCTGAAATGAGGAGTAGAGAGGACAAGAACAAGAGTTTTTTTTGGGTAAGCTAGATGGAATTCCCATCATTGTAGATAAGAGAACAATCAAAATGTAATCCGGATCCCCTCCACATGTAGTTATTTGTATTGTAATTTATAAAGATTTTGCTGTTATCATCTGTCCTTTGCACTCTTTCTTCTAATTGTTTCCCTTCCACATTCCAGCATCATCAGATCAAATCATACATTTACAAATTCTTGCCAACCACTTATATATATATATATACATACCTAGACAACAGAAGATTATAGCTAAAGTTGTTATAAGGTATACTACTCATATTTTCCCTAAACAATGTACCATCACAACAATAGCCACCATATGCATATTTTCAGTAAATTGATTCAAAATGAAAATGTTAAATTGAATACCTTTGATATGTGAGCTCCAAGACTTCTATGAACACCAGAGCACTTGATACAAATAAATATTCCATGGTTTAAAGACCTGGTCTCCACCAATTGATCTCATTAGCCAATGCACTGATGGTGGTGAAACAAGGTTTAAATAATGAAGTTCATTATTTAATAAAACTTAGATGATAATCACTGGACCCATGACTAATATGATCCTGATCTCAAGATAGTGCAGATGTGTACAGGAATGAATGATCAGTTAAATAGGAAATCAACTGTCAGCATATAACAAAGTGAAATACTGGGAAAGTGACAAGCTAAAGGATCATTTAGAATAACATTTTCAACATATATATATATATATATATATATGTATAAATACATGTGCACGTGTTTATGTCATGTGTCTATATAATATATACTAGTTGAGTGGTATCTGCAAGAGAGGGGAGAGAGAAAGAGAGTTTTGGCGTGAGGACAAGACAAGGCAAGTATTGGAATTATTAATACACACAGGTATAGGGTGTTTGTGTGTGTGTTTAAATCTATACTCACATTCTCCCTACAAAGCATATGACTGATCTGTTTGTTTATGTTTATATCTAAATAGACACAGGTATATGATTGATCTGTCACATTGTCCCTACAAAGCAGCTGGTTTTCCTGTTTTGATCAGATAGTGTCCTGCTTCAGAGCTCTGGGGTATTAAAGAGAGGCCTGGAGGAACTCAGGTGCCTTAGTGATGAGAGAGTAATTCTTTGTGCGCACAGAGAGTCATGTTTTTGCATGATTAACCAATATATGTTTCTCATTGTAGCATTACTGTTCTCCCAAGTCCTCCTAAAACCAAAAAATCCCCCATCCCTTGGTTTATATGCTTCAGCTATGGTACTATTGTCTATGGACCAATTTTACACTTCTTCAGAAAAAATCTCTTAATATGTTTTCGAGATGAATATTATGGAATTTGACATTAGGATTATGGGAAAATGAGAATTACCCATATGAAGGATCCCTTATTGACTTATTTGAGAAGATGGTAATAAAAAACAGATCTAATAATGTTAGCTACAGGAGTAAGGTTTTCAAGAATGTTATAAGAGAAAGGGAAATGCCAGATTTCAGAGGAGATGATGACCCACAAGTATTCTTTGATTGAATTGCTGAACTAGAAGAATATTTTCATTAGCATGATTTGTCTAACAAACAAAGGATTAGATTTGCATGCATGAATCTCACAGGTCATGCTAAAGTATGGTAGAGAACTCTTAAGCAATGGCCCAAAAGAAGAGGTGATGATCCTATTGCTAAATGGGCAGAGATGAAGAGGTGCTTGCAAGAAAAGTACTGTTGTTAGTGTTATTCTTTATCTCTGCTGTTAGTGTGCTGTCAGCTTGTTCTACTCTTCTTTTAATTAGATTATTTTTAGGGTTTGCCGCTAGGGGTATAAGTGTAATCTTCTTTCTTTTATTTTATGTTATGTTGTTATAAATGAGAAGCTGGGCGCCGCTAGCAATACATTTTGACTCTGAAAACTGTTTTCTCTCTCTCATCTTCTCTTCTCTCTCCTCACTCTTTTCTAGAAAGAAAACATGGTATCAGAGCAAGGCTCTGGGCGATAGGAGTCCTTTTTCTCCTCTGAATCACACTCATCCACCCAGTTTTCTGATTTTTTCGACAAGTGAAGGCAAGAAACTCTAATCGGACAGTATAGAACCACCTGTTTCTGTTTCTTCTGGGTTCTTCCTTGCCGTAGCACCAAGGTAACCCTAGTAAGAGAGGGCCGATGCTGTGAAGACCCTGTTTTTTCTTTGGCCGATGCTGTGAAGGCTTGTTTTTGGATTTGCACCTTCGAACAGGTGCTGTACATAACAGGGGTGTGTGATCCCCTTTGTCACAGGTATGTGCTGTGATTGGTTGGTGTGTGTAGCGTGTAGCCCAAAGGGGATTGAGATTTAAATCTCTGGACTGTCCTTGACTGTTGGATTTCTGCCAGTGAATTTCAGCAGTGTTTTATTTTCTTTCTGGACTGTCTGATTGTTCCCGGACTGCCTAGTTGCTACTGTCAAGTTCAGCAGTGATTGGTTTGGTGTTTAGTGCCCGGACTGAGACTGTGAGAGATACTAGTTCAGTGGGGACTGGTTGTGTGCATCTGTAGATCGGGCTTTGTTTTGTAGTTTGTGTTGTTCTCAATGGCGAATGATGATTCTGCCTCATCCGAGGTTACATCAACCCATGGTTCAACTGGTATGGGAGGTGAAAATATGATGTTTGTCTTTTGAAAGGGCTGAGGCGCAAGGCGCATCAGGCGCACACCTAGGCGCACCAGGCGTGTGCCTTTTGAAAGGGCTGCACCTAGGACGCCTGTGTGCCTAGGCACGGCACGCCTCAAGCGCGCCTTTTAAATCACTAGTTCAAGAGGTATATGCCCTTGTTCAATCTGAGGAAAGTAAGTAGAGTATGATGGTTACAACTGAGGGGGAGCAACAGGTGGCATTAGTTGCAATGGGTAGTAACAATATGGGAAAGAAGAGTGACTCCAATAAGGTTAATGATAAGGACAAGTTGTTTTGTACCCACTACCGACGTTCAAGACATACATGTGACACATGCTGGGAGATCCATGGGAGGTCAAAGTGGGTTGTAAAGAACCAAGAACAGGGTAAAGTGCAGGGTCAGAAGAAGCCTAATACAGCACATAATGCAGAAAATGTGGCAACCCAAGGTACTCAGTCTATTGGTACTACTCGGGACCACTTCACTGGTTCTGACCCCAAGGAAGATATCATGAACTCCTTCCGTAATCATTTGGAATCATATGGTAGGGCCTTGCGTCAGATGGACAGTTCAGTTACTGGTATTCCTTCTACTTCATTTGTGTCTACATCAGGTAAAGCGACCTCTACCTTCCATGTCACCACTACCACTGATTCCCTTTGGATCATTGACTCAAGGGCCTCTAACCACATGATTAGTAAGCCACATCTTTTTCAGACTAGCCTTTTGTTAGGAAGGGATAAAGTGAGGCTTGCAGATGGATCATTCTTCTCCATTGCAGTCCGGGATCAATACCCCTTCCTCATGGACTTAACCTAAATAATGTGTTGCATGTCCCTCTACTTCCCATCAATTTGCTTTCCATTAGTAGTATCACAATCTCTTCAAACTACAACATAACCTTTTTTATTGGTTCATGTGTTTTTCAGGATCTAACCTCTGGGAGGACGATTGATAGAGGAAGCTTAGTGTATGGCCTCTACACTCTCGACAAAAAGGTTGGTCTCTCGGTGTCATCTTCAGAGTCATATATATTTAGTCAAATAAGAGTCAATTTTTTTTTGTGGCATAGTTAGTTAGGTCATGTTTCCTTTGAAATAGTGAAGTCATTGTTTCCTTTTTTATTTAAGTCATGTTCGTGTCAAACATGTTAGTTGACCAAGCAATGCAGAACAACTTTTCATTCAAGTAATAAAAGATCAAGTTTTCCTTTCCATATTGTGTATTCTGATGTGTGGGGGCCTACTACTATAACTTCTGAGGGCAGGTATAAGTACTTTATCACATTGATTGATGATTTCTCTCATTATACATGGGTATTTCCCATGCATAGCAAAGACGAAGTTCCTAAGATTGTGAAAGATTTCCAGAGGATGGTGTTTACATAGTTTCATGTTGAAATCCAAATCTTTTAATTCGATAATGCAAAAGAATATTTCCATGGTGAGCTCAATGAGTTCTTTGCTTCTCATAAATCTATTCACAGGAGCTCATGTGTAAGAACACCACAACGAAATGGTGTTGCAGAAAGAATAGGCACCTTCTTGAGGTAGCACGAGGGATGATGTTACACATGAATGTAMCAAAAARAWTTTGGATGGRTGYTATACTTGWWGCTKCTTATGTCATCAATCACATGCCCTCCAGAGTGTTGAACTACATGGCCCCTCATCAGTTGTTGTTCCCTTAATCTCCTTTATTTTCCATTCTCATGAGAGTGCTTGGTTGTCATGCCTTTGTCCATGATTTATCTCCATCTCGTGGTAAGTTAGACCCTCAGTCTATTCCATGTATCTTTTTGGTTATCCCTCCTCTTAAAAGGGTTACCGGTGCTTTGATCTCATTGGTCATAAGTCTTTTTGTCTCTATGGATGTTTCCTTTTTTGAGTTTGAACCATTCTTCCCTACTTCTCCTCAGAAGGAGAGTAGCGTGGAAGAGGAGAAGCATGTCCGTCAAGTCTCTCTTCTTTCTATTCTAGATCCTACTCCCTTTCATGTCTTCCAATGTAAGCGTCATAGAGATCAACAATGTGGCAAAGATGTGGAGCCACCAAACATTGAGCAACCAACACCTTTAGACCCCTAGAAGGTAAGTCCAAATGAACTAGGCATTCATATCGCACTTATTGATACCCCTACTCCCATTTTGGTTGTGGATGACCTTGACATTCCTATTGCTCAAAGAAAGGGAGTTAGGTCATGCACTACCAAACACCCCATTACCCAATATTTCTCCTATGATCACATTTCCCCTCGTACCGGGCCTTCCTATCTACAGTTGATTGCATCCCCGTACTTAGAAGTATTGAAAAGGCCTTAAAATACCTTGAATGGATAGATGTTATAAAGGAGGAGATTAATGTCCTCCATAAGAATTAGGCTTGGGTGTTGGTGGATTTTCCAAGAGGGAAAGACCCAATGGGGTGTAAGTGGGTGTTTATAGTGAAAAACAAGGCAGATGGGACAATTGAAAGGTACAAAGCAAGGTTGGTAGAAAAATGGTACACTCAAGTCTATAGTGTTAAATATGATGAGACGTTTGCTCCAGTAGATAAACTAGGTGATTATGATGGTGAACCTCTAAAAGATGTGAAACAGTTTCAAATGTTAGTGGGAAGGTTTCTTTATTTGTCCATGGCCTGTCCAAACATTGCTTATTCAGTTGAGGTCTTGAGCCAATTCATGCATTCCCCTAAGAGACCACACATGGAGGCTGCAGAGAGAATTCTTAGGTATTTGAAAAAGTATCCAGGAACAGGTTTGCTATTTAGTAAACAAAATCATCTGAAGGTGGAAGTCTATACAGATGTTGATTGGGTAGGTTTTGTGGATGATAGAAAGTCCACAATCTAGTGTCATGGAGAAGTAAAAAATAAAGTGTGGTAGCAAGGTCAAGTGTTGAAGCGGAGTATAGGGCTATGGCACATGGGGTGGCTGAAGTACTTTGGCTAAAATATCTTCTAGAGGAACTGGGAATTACTGTTCACAATCCTATGTCTCTTTACTATGACAATAAAGCAACCATAAACATTGCTAGCAATCCTGTCCTACACGAGAAGACCAAGCACATTGAAGTGGACAAACACTTCATAAGAGAAAAATTGGAAAAAGGAGAAATTTGTATTCCTTATGTCAACTCCAAGGAACAAGTAGCTGATGTTCTCACAAAAGGGCTTCCATACTTGTGGCACAATGAGTTATGTGACAAGTTGGGCATGATAAACATATTCAGCCCAACTTGAGGGGGAGTGTTGTTAGTGTTATTCTTTATCTCTGTTGTTAGTGTGTTGTCAGCCTAGGATGCTGTCAGCTTGTTCTTTTCTTCTTTTAATTAGATTATTAGGGTGTGACGCCAAGGGTGTAAGTGTAATCTTCTTTCTTTATTTTATGTTATGTTATTATAAATGAGAAGCTGGGTGCTGCCAGCAATACTTTTTGAGTCTCAAACTGTTTTCCCTCTCTCATCTTCTCTTCTCTTCTCTCTTCTCTCTTCTCTCCTCTCTTCTCTCTTCTCTCTTCTCTCTCCTCACTCTTTTCTAGGAAGAAAACAAGTACATTCCACTAGACTTCCATGATTATCTGTATATGGAATTGACTAATCTCAAGCATGGTATGGTATCTGTATTTCATTATATGCATAAGGTTGATAAATTATCTATTAAGTGTGATACTATAGAAAGTGAAAGGTACATTCTATCTTATTTCAAGAGTGGACTAAGAGTTGACAACAAGAAGGAATTGTCTACAATTCAAATTTATGACTTAGATTATGCTTTTGAACTGGCTCTCAAGGTAGTAAGAGAAGCAGCAAGTTACAACAAAAAATTTGAAACCAATGGAAAAAGTACAAAGTTAAAGATAAAGTAGATGATTTATTGCATCTTAGTGGCTATCCTAGAGCAAAAGTTGAAAATGAAGCTAAAGAACCAGAACTTCAACCTATAAAAGTACTAGGAATTGAAGATCAAGAGGAGTGCGGGCCAAGAAAAGATAAAAATAGTTGAAGGAGTTAGCAGCACCCATGATCAACTTGAGGTTAATGATCACGAAGAGATAGAGGTGGACAAAGTTGGAGAAATTCAAGTGCATACAAATATGATAGATCTTATTAAGGAAGTAAGCCATGACCTTAACTTACAATTTTAATTGGAAGTTTGGAATCAATCCAAGCATTACAAGCTGACACAGCACAAGTCCACCAACATCCATGATGGAAGAAATCTTAGAGTTTGTTGAAGAGCCAAGGGTAGCTGAACACATAGAAATGGTAACTCCTAAACTAGAAATTGAAGGAAAAGTTCCAAATGTTGCATTTGAGATTTTGGACATGAAAGTTCATAGTGATAAGCAAGGGGAAGATTCACCACAAGATAGGCAGATTGATAAAGTGTTCAAAAATCTAATGTTACTGATGATTTAACAAAGACAGTTATGGAAAGCAGTGTTTCAGATATAAATTGCTTTCAAGATCCTTTTCTAGCTATGTTTTTGGTATCAACTCTACAGTCCAAGTGAGTTGAAGTAACCATTGGAACACCTACTCCTTTTGCCATTGGGGCATATCAACCTTTCCTCAAGTTCTTTCAAACTCGAGGACAAGTTCTTATGAACCAGGGGAGAGTGATGCAAGAGCTGAGTCGAATTGGACTTTTCTGAAATTTTATGTATTTATGTATTTTTGGATAGTAGGAGTATTTTCATCATTTTACAATTTTTCTATGGGGTCCAATGATATGGTCTGATTTTTCTAATTATGGTTTGTTTATGTTTAAAGTTTCAAAGTCATTAAATAAGTAGGATTAGAGTTATTGAGTCTTCTTTGAATTGAAATAGGATAATGGCAGTAAGTTTTGAGTCCTACTATGTTTCTTATGAGTCTAATAGTTTGACTCCTAGGATTCTTATGAGTCTAGACTTTAAAGTCTATAAATATGTATGGGCCTTTTACAGAAAGAGTCAAAGACCAATGAAGTTTATTAAGCTTTATTGAGGTTATGCTAATTATGGTGAGTGATTCACATACCCTAGAGTGATTTTAGGTACCCTGTGAGTGATTCCAGGTATTCTGTCTCTTCTTTCTCTCCCTATTTTCTTTCTTATTCCTTTAAGAAATTATAGCCATCAACAGCCATAGACTTATGATCAAGGAAGACCATTCAACATACTGGAATTTAGCTGGTCCTGCATCAATAAACTTTAATGTACCAAGATCTAATAAAGTACCCTACAAATCACACACACCACATAAAATACAAAAGCATCCCCAGATATCACATGCAATCTTCAGATCATAATATCACTGTACATCTTTATGAAGTTTATGACTAATGATTTAAACTTTTTTTATGGGGCCACAGGTGTTATTTTCCTCTCTCACTCAGGATTGTTTATTACAGATGATGGAACAAACATGTCAGGCAACTCATAGATTGATGTTGACCCCCAGGTTGTGATCAGAGTGGCAAGAATTTCCATCAAGAATAGAATGCATAAAGTTCATATATTTTCTGATCTGGAACTGGCATTGCAACATATTTTGCCAAGCAACATGAATGAAATCTACACAAGATCTTGTTTATTATATTCTTTTTGTAATTGCAATGCTGTTGTACATAAATATATCTTATATTGAAAGGAACAAAATTTGCCAGCTCATACTGTAGCAGTAATTGCAAAAATGGAAGTAGATCTTTTGTTTATTGGAGATATACAAGCTTCCAGCAGCCTCTTCTCTCTGAATCATCTTCATGGCCTGTTCCTTTGTATTTCTTTTAGTAATTACTTGTCTTACAGAAGGCATCTATGTCTACAATAAGTTGGTAGGTAGCAGTGTTTTAAAAGACACCAGAGGCATACACCTGGTGGCAGCCACACCAAAATGCCCCAGGGCATATGCCAGAGGCGTTGATGCCTCTGAGGCATCATACACCTTTTGTATGAGGCATGCTAGAGGCGTACACTTCATGCACACCTCATACAAAAAAGGTAGAAAGAAAGGAAAAAAAAAGGAAAGGGAAGGGAAGGGAAGACAAGAGAAAGGAAAGAAAGTTTGGGTCGGGGGCTCTGCCCCTCTCCCACTCCAATTCAGCTAGTATTATGCATCTTCATTCTTTTTAATATAAGACATCTTTCATAAAAGAAAAAAAGAAAGATCCTCCTTCTTCTTCCACATCCTTCCTCCTCTTACGTTCTGAACTATGCCTCATGCCTCCAAGCAGTGAAATTCCTTGCATCACACCTCCATGTTTTAAAACATTGGTAGGTAGGTCGAGTGAGAGATTCACATCAAACCATATGAGATAAATCTAAGGACAAAAGAACTATTATAATAAAAAATAAAAGCACCATAATATGAGATAAGCAGCTACAATAATTTCAGTTTCTTCATATAGGTTATTTGGACAGCTATAAATCTAGCCCTTCTTAATACTCATATCAGATACTTACACCCATTTAGGTTCTGGAGAGCCACAATCTGCACATATCCTATTGCCTGGTTGATTCATCAGCTCTTCCAGTCTTTCTAGTGGACCTGATATTTTGAAACATTGGAGTCACAATTAAAAAAGAAATATTACATTGACCCACCAAGAACATACACCAAAACAAGTCTTGGGTGGTTATGTTGATGAAAAAGAATGAAAACTGAAAGTTCCCCTCATAACAGATACAAAGAGGAAGCTTTTCTTTCTTCCATTCCCTTTGTTTCTAGCCATGGAAGAAGGTAACAATCTTTCTTGGTCCTCATGCCTTTGATTTCACAAAACTGTATAATTCTCATTATTTTCTGTATTTCCATCTGATTGCTCCTCATCAGCTCCCTGCTCATAGGGTTTTACTATAGGTATTGCAATTGGAATTTTTTTAATACATTAGTTATCTAATTTACATTATTACTAAGAAATTCTAGTAGTCAATTTCTTTTGTAATTTCACTCACTTAATTGTTCAAGTTAATAAATTCCAACCACATTGACTGGAAAAATCAAGAAATATAGAGTAGTATTTGTAAGAGAGAATAGCATAGAACAAATCCAAATCAAGTGGCTGAGGAACAGGGATATAAAAAGATTATTCTAAAGTTACCTGCAGATGATCTTTGATCATCCTCTCTGCAACTCCAATTTTCTGAGGGGTCTGAGCCTAAGAGGTCAATTAAACAAGACTCAGATCCTACAGTACAACTAAAAAGAATGTTAAAAGAACTACTTGCATTCTGGGCCTAAAGTTTTGGTACTGAAACAATTTTGTGAATCATTAGAATCTTTAAAGGTGCATCAGAGCCAAATTAGTAGAACCATTAACAAGGAAAACATTGAATAGTAGGATTTCATGAATGCAAAAAGACAAACTTCATAGACCAAATGAATTAATTTAAAATAGGATCAGATTCCTTTTTCATGATTAGAAAAGAAGCTACTATTATAATAGATGGTTCAAAAGTCTTAAGGAAAGATGATAGAGTAGCAATAGACAAATGGAATCTTTACTACTAAGCAATAATACACATCATAAGCATCATAGTTTCTTATAGGGATATAATTCAAAGTTCCCAATGATCATAGATTGATATTCAAACATTCATCTTAAGGAAATGATGGCTTGTTCTGTCTTCTATAGAAATTTCATCATTCTGGTTATCAAAGAATTGTTAAAAGTTATAATAAATACTTAGGCCTAAAGCAAGGTTTTAGGGTTTATTTTTGTGGGATTAGACACACTTAAATTCAGACTTCCCACATTTGCAAGTAACCAGACTCATTCCATATCTGAGAAAACCTAACCCTAGACAGAGAGGTCATCTAAGGAAAAATATCTAGCCAATAAAATGATGTTGAGCACAAAATACAATATAAAAAGACAAAACTAATGAAAAAAATATGTGAAAATCAAGGTGCTCCAAATTTGCCTCTAGAAACTAGAATTTTAGTTGCAAGGTGCTGAAAGCCCCCGCATAGGAATCATTGCCAAGGTGCTCCAAATTTGCCTCTATTACTCATGAAAGCTCCAAGGAATAGTATAGTGTAGCTTGATAGTCACATATTCCCTTCTAAATGAAGTTATAACATCTCTTAGATATAACGGACAAAGTCAACTCCTGGGATTCCTTTTATCAACTATTAGCGGAACTGGTATGGGAAAATGTAATTATATGTTTGTTAAACTACTGAAGCCTACAAAGTAAACCTCCTTGTACCATGCAAACAACCCAGTGGAACACCGTCCCCTTTCAACGTCTAACCTTTTAATTTTTTCTTTCTTTCAGACTAACATCGACTATGCAGTCATTTTCTCCAACATTGTATTCATTTCATGCAATATCAAAACAATCAGAAATCACTTCCCCCTACCAATATCAACTTCAAACTTCTATCTTGATACTAAAGACTATTATCATCAGAATGAGGAATCTGTTCAAGCTATCATTAGACCTTACCAAGTCTTCATCCCAATGATTAAAGTACCACCAAGCAGAGTGTCAATATCAGGCATCTTTTCACAGTTTGCAAGTTTGAGATTTACTTTTAATTTTAGTTGTAGGATGGAAATTCCAAATTTTCTCTATTGCTTTTTTTTTGGGTAGAGCAAATAACAATTACAATAACAGCCAGATATTAAACATGAAGCCCAATTAATCATAGACAAGGAATAACTGGCTCCCTATCCCCAAGATATATAGACCATAAACAATAGGTCCAACAAATATTACTCACGATAGACCAAAACTTAGCCATGCCAGGAACTTATTTGTGGTCTCATTTTATGTTTTTTACTCCCAAGATCAGAACTGCAAAAAACAATCTCCTCCCAACACCTCCCGCCCACCAAAAAAAGACAAAACCACAAAACCACAAAATAAAAACTATCGCTGAGGAAATGCCACATTCCTCTCAAGAATTCTTAACTTACCAGATAACTAGAATTCCATGATAAACTTTTTTTTTCTCAGAGTTGTTCTCCTAATAGCAGACCCTTGAACCCAACTTTATTAATCCTTTTCCATAATTTCATTTCTAGAATTTAAGGTTCACCATTAAATGAAGGAGAAATAACATAACCATCTTAAAGAATTAAAACTCATGAAGGAACAAAAGGTAATGAACAGGAGGGGGGGAAACTGTACTTGAACGATTTCTGGGATCAGGTTTTTCTGTGGGGGTAGTCATTTAGAATACCCAGACGTTCAGATCCAGATCATGAAACACCACTGCAACCTGAAAGAAAGCATCTCACCTCCGCCCTTACTGCATCAACAAACATGAGATAATTCGATAAGCAATGCCGGGCCCATTTATTAGCTCAAGAAGCAGGTGAAAACCAACGTAAAAACAACATGGGAGTTAACGGATTTAACAAGCAGAATTAAAACCCAAAAAAGGTTTTAAACAAACAGAAAAAGAAATGGTGGAAATGATCCAACTGGGTTGTTGAAAAATTAAAATATTGTCGGCAATGGTAAAGACAGAAATAATGCAGAGCAGGAAAATGGGAACTGTACCTGGAGAAAGGGGTTGGATTAATGGAAGATTCTAACTTATAGAAAAGCCTCAAAAGTCAAAAAGAGAAAAAAACAGGTTGGATTCATGAGAAGAATCTGTATTCGGCTTTTTCATGAAAAAAAAAATATTTTTCATTACTTTTGCATTCGTTGAATGTGTGCCAAATCAAAGAAAATTAAAAGCGGAAATTCGGAATGATTGAATGAAGAGGGTCTGGTTGCGGTTTTTTTTTTTTTTTTTGGTTAGAAGTCCGGTTGCGGTTGGTGTTAACTAATTTGAATGCGCGCGTAAGCTCTGTTGTCCATGGCCATGGTGGCGTCCTTCGTTCTCCCCCTTACCATGTCCATGTGCACGTCATTTTCGTTGGGACTTTTGGACACCACACACCCCAATTCAGATTTCCTACCCATAACACTACAGCTGTACATTGGAAACATCTCCCAAATGTACCGGAGAAATTGTGTAAAATTCATCACGAGTTTTCAGCATTAAATTCGAGATGCCGCCCCACAATGTCCCACAACACATCCCGGCCATGTATTGGGAACATCTCCTGATGATGATATCATCGGTTTTGATACTGTTATTGGAAGATGTTCTCAATACACGGTGATGTGTTGTGGGGCGGAGATGTGTACTCCTTAAATTCACCATAACTTTTCAAAATATCTAAAACTCACCGTGTCACTAGGTTGACATTAAAGAGACTCGGGTGTTAATATATTATCATTTTAATTTTAATAGAAAAATATAAAATATATACAAAATAAATTAGAGTGTTAATATATTATCATTTTAATATTTAGACATGAAGAAGAAAAAGTTCAAAAAAATATTTTCAAATATAAAGTACATAAAAACATAGAAATTATAAAAAAATAGAAATTGCAAACAAAATAAAAAATTATTTTCAAATTATGGAAACTATAGAAATTGAAAAAAAAATCAGAAAATAAAAATTGTTGAAAAAACACCAAAGATTATAGAAAGATACAGAAATTGTAAATAAATAACAAAAATACAGGAAAATTTATAGATTGTAGAAAAGAGAAAAATGTAAAAAACAGAAATTATAAAAAATATTGGAAATTATAACAAAGCACTAAAAATGCAAAAAAAAACAATAAAATTGAAAACTAAAACAGACCATTTTTCCTCTAACTCACCATTCAAGAGTAATTTGGTCATGAAAATTGTTATTTATGCTAACATGGACACCTTTGTTAAGAAGCATTAAAAGTGCACTAACAAAAGGTGAATTTTGGAAAATAATAACTTATTGACATTGTGAGTTTTAGACATTTTGAAAAGTTGTGGTGAGTTTAAGAGAAATGTTGAAAACTCATTGTAAGTTTTAGACAATTTCCCTTAAAACTTTAAATGGGACTGAACGATTGACCCAAGAACAGATCAGGTAATTGATTTTGTTTCACCCTAAAATCGTTCTTGGGCCAAAAATCGTGATTTAGTCAGCGACATGCTGATCTAAGTGGTCGAACTATCAATTCAAACAATAATTTTTGACCTTTTATTTTGTTTATTTAAAAAAAATATTTAAATTAAAATGAACCACCCATTCGAACTGGGTGGTTTATTTAAAAAAAAAATGATTGTCTGAATCGATCAAACCGTCGATTCAGACAATCATTTTTTGCCATTTTCATCATTTGACTTGAAAACCAGTGGTCATGATGGTTTTGTGTTCGGTCCGGTTTTTAAAACCTTGGATGTACCGCTCTAGTGAGGCGTGAGTAAGTGTGGGTAGGATAGTAGGAGATCCAAATTGTCCACACACAACCCACATGGCCACATGTTCATCCCCATGCGTTTACAACGGATGCTAGGTGCGGATCTTCCAAGTTCCGACAATAGCTTGCAACCTAGATGGCCCTCTCATCCTCCAAAATTTGAATGGGCTCCTCTCCGTGAGCCGGGGTCTGCTCTTCACAAATGGGCACCTCACAAGCACATCCACCGTGCATTGGGAACATCTCCCATGAATAATAACTAATAAGTACAGAAGATGTTCCCAATGCATGGTAGGATGTGCGTGTGAGGCGCCAGGTGTGAGGAGCAGATCCGGTATCCCTTGCCAAACACACACCACACGTGCCCCACAGGCACATTCAAACATTCTCCGTGCATTTGCAACAATCTTGTTATGATGTGTGCAGGGATGCCAATGGGTCGGGTTAAACTGTAAAACCCAGATTCAGGTTGCCAAGTAGGGTCCGATTATCATGTAAGGTTTTGGGTCTTCGGATTTAATCCGTAATTATGCTATTATGTAAATAAAAAATGACCAAAAAATTAAAAACAATTAAAAGATCTAATTATTTTTAATTTATATGTATAATAAATATATATAAATATAAATATTAAATTTATTAAGTAAAACTTTATAATTATATATACAATATCTATATAAATAATTATACTATTTATATAAATAAAATAATAATTTTTTTACTGGACTCAGAAATTTAATTGGATCTGATTGGGATAAATCCGCATTCAATCCAATTAATTAGAATCAAGTATTAGCCTTTCAGAGTACATTAACAGCCCTAGGGCCAAGTTTATCCAAGTATAGACCCTGTAGAATCCGCATTCTGTGCACCGGTGGGTTCACTGGGCGCGTGAACCCACCAATCTTAATCGACCACATCGTCCAGGCCCAAAACTCTTAACATTAATGCGTCTTTCACTGTTAGCATGCGCTAGCCGGTTGAACCAGTTACAGAGGGACAAAATATAACTCAAAAACACCCAGCCCGCATTTCTTTTTCATTCTCCTTCCCATTTTGTCTGGTTTTCGTTGTTTTTCCTCCATCGAACCCTACCTGCACACCGGCGACCATACCACAGCGGATGGTGACCCGAACCAATGGCCATCGGCGGCGAGGGCCAAAGGCATACCAAAGAACGAGGAGATGCATACCAATGACTAACTCATCTACAGACTAACTCAACTGTCATAGTCTAAAAGGCATACCAGTGAACGAGGAGATGCACGGCTATGGAGTAATAAGTGGTTCATCTCAGCTATTGAAGTCACTGATCCTGGTGGCATTGCAGACCTCATCTTCTTCCTTATAAGCGTTTGGTTATTGTTAGAAGTTAACGCGACTCATTACATTTTGCATCCAAGCCTCTAAGACATATCATGCTAGATTGTTAGTTAAAGAACCTACAGGTGACAATGCAAGCCAAGAGAATATCGTCCCAGCATCCTTGCTTCTAGTATTCTCCAGTGTCATACTTGTATTCAAGGTTCAAAGTTATGTATCGTTTCAGGAGCTCTTTGATACACTTTCGGGGTTTTGACCGGTTCAGGGGTGGAGGAGCCTTATACCTGATTTCTTGTATCAGCTTTAAAAAAATAAAAAAGGTACGGATACATCCCTACTAGCTTATCAATATTTTGAACCTTGCTTGTATCTGCTTTCTGCCCCTTATCAAATGAAAAACCACTATTTGGTGTAATAATCTGCTCCAGTGATAGGTTGTGTTTTGTTTTTGTAGGTTTGTCTACCACCGATAAAAAACAAGTGACATTTGGTGCCATAGAAGTTCCCATTTTTTTTTTCTACAACAGAATTAGTAGACCCTCGCCGCCGATGGTCGTCCTCTGTGGTATGGTTGCCGTGTGTGGATACGGTTCGGTGGAGGAAAAGCAACGAAAACCAGACAAAATGGGAAGGAGAATGAAGTAGAAATGCGGGCTAGGTGTTTTTGAGTTGTATTTTGTCCCTTTGTAATTGGTTCAACCGGCTAGAGCATGCTAACAGTGAAAGGCACATTAACGTTAAAGAGTTTTGGACCTGGACGACGTGGTCGATTAAGATTGGTGGGTTCATGCGTCCAGTGAACCCACCGGTGCACAGAACATGGACTATCCTTTTGGGATTGGGTTAGAGTTTTAATTCTTGAATCCGAAGAATTAGGTTTGTATCGCCCCGAAGGTGTGTATTATGCAGGGGAAATGTTCCTAATTTACGGAGGATAATGTATTATGGGTAGGCGTGAGCAGAATTCTCGTGGACAGATGATCCGGACAGAGGATGAGATGTTCTCCATCTTGCTATCCACAAATCAATTTCCAATTTAAATTAGGGTAACAGTTTTGGGTTTTCTAGATGTGCTATGAAAAATATAATTGAGAGACCACATGTAGGTTGGATTGGCGTCGGATTAAACTTATAGGGTTAGGCAGATTATCAAATTGGGTCTGTCCAGGTTTGGGTGAAAGCAATCAAAGCATTGAAGGATCGAGTTAGGTTTAAGGCAAACCCATCCATAGACCGGATCCCTTGACATCCCTACTTGTGTGGAGATAAAGGACCCAGCAGGTTGAACTTTGGAGTTCAGGGAATTGGATCCCGGTTTTAAGTGCTTACATCCGGGTCATCAAGTGCAACTCTTTTTGTCTAGGTGAAAATGTGTTATCAAAAAACATTGAATCTAGCACCTCTTGATTCCAGCAATTAATCTGCAATAGGTTAATGATATTGCACACCTTCCGACCGGAAAATGTTTTAGAAAGCAGATTGGACCAGACCAGATTAGCCTACAAGTGTTTGGTTCAGCTATCAAACCGGAAAATGTACATAATCCAACAGAATGGTTGAACCTGATATGAACTGCAGAGTTCATATAAATCATCCGGTTCATTGACAGTCCATCTGGTAAATGAATTATGTATTTTATTCTTCAGCCACTTTTCCATGCAACATGGTATCCAATAGTTTGGATGGTTGAAGCCATTGAACTTTGAACTGAATGCTTTCTAAATTTTGGTTTTCTGACTGGTTTAGGTTTTCTTTTGTTTCCTTTTTTCTGGAAAAAATCCATAAACCTTTTCTCAGGTTTCTAACAAATACTAAAATCTCTCTTAATCCTTAAATCTGTGTTTGGAAACGATGCAAATAAGTGTGATTACAAATATGTAGAGTGTAAAACGGTCCATATAAATTGTAAAAGTGGGTTAGTTTTGCACTGATAAATTTACCTTCTTACCAAATAGACTTTTAATTGCAATAGATGTAAACATGAATTCCAATAAAGTATATGTTTTTTTTTTTTATCAAAAACCCACTTGAATGCAAATTTACTTTTTTTTTATTGATGTACTTTTACATTTTATTATCAATGTAAATATGCATTGGCCTGTCATTTGTCAATGCATAAATGCAATGTTGCCAAACACAGACAAAAGTGAACCAGAGTGCAAATTTGTCCTGAACCAGGACTTACACTCCATTTGCATCATTTCCAAACACAGCCTAAAAATCTTCTATCAAAGGATTCCACTAATG